TTCAAAACCTGCCTGGATGTGTTCCTCTGTGACCTTGTGATTTCTGACAATAGGTCTCTTGAATCCATGACAGAGAAATGTTCAATAGTTATAAGTTGCAGTTATATATAATTGTGGAAGAAATAAGGCATGGGCTATTACAGTTGGAATAATGAGTTCCTAGACTGTTTAATCTAGAAATTAGGTGATTACGGTGTTACCAGAAGATATTAAATTAAAATTGAACGTTTTTGTAGAATTATGCTGTAGCTTAGCTGTCCTGAAAAGCTTGTTGGTTCCTGTGAAGGAAATGTTGTGACCTCAAGTGACAGAGCAATACTGGAAGCATGATGTTCTGGCTCGTCTTGAAGTTACAGATTTTTTTGGTAAAATTTGATGCATTAATTGTGATACACTGATAATTTGTTACTGGGTTTTGGCCTGTATATCTGTGGATCTTGAGTGCTTCCACAGAATAATCTACATATCAAAAGAAACATTCATCTGCAATCCACTATTTCAGTTTCGAATGTAAATTTTGCTTATTGAGACCATAGGATTTGTATTCAACAGTACTGCAACCCATGTGTCTGTTTCTTTTTATTGGGGAAGAAATATGGCAAGGTGTTTTGTGTGTTATTGGCTTATATAAACTTTTAAAATTATTTCCTATATTTTGACTGGTTAGAGCTCAAGTGTATTGACACAGTTAATGTAGAAACTTCATTCTAATTCTTTGAACTTTTTGGGCATAGTATACAATTAACTGTAATTGAGAGCAAGCTTTTGCTGTCAGATGCATTTTGTGTGTGTATGTATCAAAATTTGTAGAACTCAATGCAGTCACTATTTTTTCTGAAAGTTATGCCTTTCCAGTATACCAATCCAGTTACATGTACTGCAGTATAAAGCCTAAGTCAAAATGTGTATCACATTTCTTTAAGGAAGTCCTTTGTGGAGTTTTTCGCTCTTCCTATCTTGTTATGAGATAAATGTCAAGACTATGCTTATTTCAGCAAGTTGGGATTGAAAATAAGTTTATGCACTGATTTTTGTTGTTGTTTCTAATCATATAGGGTTGCAAATGCAAAACTTAACAATTTTTCTCGCCTGGAGCCCACACTTCAACTCCTTGGTGTACAGTTTAATGAGAATGTGGCCCAAGACATAATGACAGGACGGCATGGAGCTGCAACAAAGCTTTTATATGAATTGTATATTGCTTTAGAAAAAAAGAGAAAAGCAAAGCTCACTGGAGTAGCCATGGAAGGAATGAGACCTGCAGCAACTGCAAAGCTTAAGTCTATTCCAAGTGTTTTGTATCGTGAGGTAAATAACTGCCTATTTTGTATAAATATATTGGAAAAAATGTAGCATACTTGCAAGTACACTTCAAGCATGTTGCATGCTTCCCCTCACCCCTTTTAAAGTATCCTATTCAAAATCCAATGTGTGCTGTGTCTTATACATAGACAATGGGATTACGTGGTTTGTCTGTGACTCATGAGGATAATGATCATCTGTGTTTTGTGTTCCTTTATTTTGACTCATTCTGTGTTACCTCCTCTGTTTTTAAGCTTTTCCCAGACTTCTGTGTTTAGAAACAAAGACTAGTAGCTGTTCAGCAGCTGCCAACTTACTCTTTTGATCAGTACAGATTGCAGACTGCATTGCAGTCTAGGCATCAACTTAGACTAATTTCCCCTCCAGAAAACTTTTTCTGTACTGTGTTGAGCTTTGTGCCGCAGTGGTTTGATTCTTTCTGTTGCACAAGTCTCCATATATTTATACTACACTTCAGCCTGCAAGAACCATATACTGAATAATGCAAAGAGGAAAAAACAAAGTGGAAAGAGAGTATCTAAGAGAAAGTCAGTATAGATGTAGTAGATTCTGTAAGGATGATGTTCTTGTCTTCAATAGTAATGTTCAGCATGTGCAGACCATAATTTGTTATCATGTTGAACAATCTTTAAAAACTGTATTTTATGAATCAAATTCATCTGGGTGAAATGTAACATTTTTTTCTGGCATACTTCATGAAAAATAGTCTATAATCAGAAAGTTTACCAGCACGTGCAAGGATGGTATCAAGCAGTCAAAACATCCCTTCACCTATGAATGGACACCTTAAAGAAGACTAAGCGCCTGAAAGTAGTTCCTGTCAATAGATATGTTCAGAATGACATTTGAATTGTAGAATAGCTGAGGTTGGATGGGGCCTCTGCTCTGAGCAAAGTCAACTAGGGCAAGTTGCTCAGACCTTTTTCAGTTGGGTTTTGAATATCACCAAAGAGACTTCACAGCCTATCTGGGCAAATTGCTTATCATCTATTCAATGATTTTTTTTTCTTAAAGTTTAAGTTGAATTTCCTGTATTTCTGTCTGAATAGAACAGAAAAGTTCAATTGGAAGGTGCATAAAATGATCATATAGTCCAAATGTTTGATCAATTCAGAGTTGACCAAAAGTCAAAGCATGTTACTAAGGCCACTGTCCAAATGCTTCTTGAAGGCTGACAGGCTTGGGGCATTGACCACCTCTCTAGCCTGTTTCAGTGTTTGACCACCCTCTCGATAGAGAAGTGTTTCCTAATGTTAAATTTGAACGTCCTTTTATGCAACTTTGTGGTATTCCCACGCATTCTATCACTGAATACCAGGGAGAGGAGATCAGCACCTTCCTCTCCACTTCTCCTCAGAAAGTGTAGAGAGCCATGAGGTTGCCCTTCAGCGTCCTTTTCTCAAACTGGACAAAGTCTGGCATTGTTCAAATTCAAATCTGCATGTTCTTTTCAATGGAGCTAGTCCTGTTTTTTCTGAAAAATTCTCCACCATATTTAGATATTGTTCTGGAAACACAGGAAAACACAACTTGAAATTACTATTGCAAAATTACCATATTTAAATTTTTCTTACTGTTTCTGACTCTTCATTGCTTGAAATTTAATTTTAGCGTTTGAAAACTTTAATGCCACGTCGGACTGATTTGCAACTACAGCATATTTCAGAGCATTTTGAAATAAAATCTAAGGCAATAGAAGAAAAGACAGCTCGTATACATGTTGCAGAACAACAGAAAGCTCAGAAGCTCCAAGAGGAACAAAGAGCCCAAGACATCGAAAAGGTGACTACTCGCTTTTTATTGACTTCTGAAGAAGTATTTTCTTAAGGTCATGTACATAATGACTTAAAGCCAGTGTGAATGGTTGTTAATTCTGTGCTATACAGTCATGTTTATACAAAACCAAAGAAAATGAGTATGCACGGCAATCATTAATATGTAGATCTAAAGCTAATATACTGTTACGAGACCCTTGAAAACATTAGTATTTAAAACATTAATATTTAAAAATCTCCATGTTAAATTAAGAGTATTTGCATATTGTCATGCATAGAAAATATTTATAGATTTGCAGACAAAGTGTAAATTTCACAACTGTGTTTAAGGTGTCCTTGTAAGAGAGGTTTGTGACATTCTTCATTTGTGAAGAAAGGATGAAGCTTTGTTCAAAAGCAGTAAAAACACACAGGGAAGGGGCCCTATAGTGGGTATGGCCTCAGAACATCTTGTAGCTCTGTGTAGCTGTTCTGTTCAACAAAAAAGAGAAAATAATTTCTTAAGATATGGGAGCACTCATCCAAAGTATAGCATGTAGTTTTTATAGAGGAACTGGACACCTATCCAAGGTGTCTTGAGCCACAATGAAAATAGAGTAATTTGAGCTGCATCCTGTATGGCTAATTAAGGGGATGGCTAATTAATTTTGTATGGCTAATTAAGTCTTGTTGTGGTTATTTACCTGTTCTATTACCACTGCATGAACAAGAATGAAAAAAAAAAGGTCCTTGTGTCTAGAAAAGAAAACACAAGCAATATCAAACGTATTTTCAAAATAAAGTTTTTTAAAAAAAACTCTTACTTGATGTAGTGCATATTTATTTTTTAACTCTTTGTAAAAAACTATATTTTTTCACTCATTTACACTTTTAACTGCATAAATCTGTAGTACTCTTTGACTAGTGTAATTTAAGTGTTTGTTGCTTCTTGATCATCTGGGCCTCATCATTCGGCAATAATGTTACCTAACATTACCTGTACCAGGAAACTGGTGTTCTCAGTTTTCGTGCTGAAAACAGCCTGAAACAGGTACTATATTAGAGCTAGAATTTAATACAAGCCCTTAAATGCTTATTAGGTACTGAGCACAAACTATTTTTCTTTACAGATGTGCTTTTATTGCACCACACTATTTGTTAATGAGGACATAGTATACATAGATGTACCATTTTCTACTAATGTTACTTAAAAATGTATCTTCATCCTCAAATATTGAGAAATTATACTAGAATATTACTAAGCTGCCAAATTATTCAGAATGTAGAATAAGTTAATTTCAAATGCATTTTAAAACATCTGTTCATTGATATAAAATGGTAATTTGTGAGTACAGTGGCTGAGGTTATTCTTAAGACAAGATTCAACTGTGTTCAAAACATGAAGTATTTTTTGCCTTCATGATATTTTAGTGATCCACTTTTTTAAAAAAAAAAAGTCATTTGCTCTAGCCTGGAGCCTGATATGCGCTTCTACTTTCTTCCTAGAAGGTTTTTTCCTTATGTCTTAGTTACATTTACTTCACAGATATATCAGTAGTATGTTAGAGCCATATGGTGTATTTTGTTTCAACTGAAGTATCTGAACATATAATGTTGAATATTCAGCGTCGCATAGGAAGAAGGAGACAAAACGAAATCATGGCCAGGATTCAAGCAGCCATTATACAAGTTCCAAAGCCACCGCCAAACCACACCATAAAACCTATTGAAGCCAAAACATTCTTAAAAAAGAAAAGAGAAGCAGAGGTAACTATCAGTTATATTCTTTTAATGTTAATTATATGAACTTGAAAAACATACATTGTCTTGGAAGCTTTTACACCTACAAATACTGTACTTTTACCGTCCAAAAGTTGCTGATATAACTGTTAAAATGATGTAGTAGATTCAACCAGTGAAAATTGTGCTAAATATGAATATGATCATGATTCTTCATTTGTTACTTAGGAAAACATTGTTTTGACATAAGAGAAAGTTCTTATTGAATAAATACTATAGGTAGGTACTAATTTAGTTGCTGACAGTATTTTAGCTTCTAGTCTGCTGAGCAGAATATGTGAAATAGCATTAGTGTTTCATTCTCATATGCACGTGATGAAGTTTTGCAGCATAATGTATGAACTCTTCTGTAACACAATATAAATCTGCCTAGTCTATCAAAATATTGGTCACAGTTGAAATTGACAATAGTCTCAGATCAAATCAAGAGATAATGGCAATGCAGCAATTAAAAAAAATTCTGTGTTATCTAGTCCTGAAAAGTACTTGGAATGTAATCCTACAGTTCTTAGACTATATTGTCATCAGTAGTCCAAATATTAGCAATTTTTTCAACTGCACAACTGAGACATGCACTTAAATGTAGAGTGTGGGAACATAGTTGCCTGAGTAACTATCAGAGATGAATTCAAGCTACTAAATCTAAAGCAGGCTCATAACTCAGAGAATCTTGTTTCTTGTTTCAAATTCCTGAATGGTGGGATGCTAGAGTCCTGTGTAAAATCAGAAATATTCTGCAGGATGAACAGCTGCAAAAACTTAGGATTTTCTGTCTGGTACAGCTAAGAAAAGGAGGAAGGGAAGGAAATGAAAGGTAGAAGAAGGGAATAGTCTTGTCTTTTTTTCTTGATCTAGCTAATGCTTAACAGATTTTCATTGTAAACATTTATGTTGTACCAACATGATGCAAGAATAATTCCCTAATACTTACTCTGTTGAAGCTTCCTTATGATGCTTTGTGAATGGAAAAGAAACATTAGTTTTTGTATTATTCCTTCAGGACACATACAAGGAGATTAAAAAGTTTGAGAAGTCTATGGCAGGAAATGCCTCTGCAGTACACAGCCAAGTCACTGACAGGTAATATTTGGATATTAGATTGTTAAGCCTAGACAGGATCCTACCTAAAGTGCCTACTATCTAAGTAGATGGTTATTTGAAGAAAGTATAATGGCTTGTTCAGCTTAAACTGTGATTTTCCTTTCAATGATTAACCCACTAGCACTGCAAATATTTCAGCTTTAGCACTGTTACAATGTTTTACCTTACTTACAGTTGTAGAAGGGATGGCTCAAGCTTCCTTCTCTCCATTTTGCCATTTATACAACAACAAAGGGCACAAAGTGCATCTCTTCCCCTCTATTCATTTCAGTCATTGAGTCTGTAAGGTCAGTTAGACTTGCAGAGAGAAGAGAATGGTTGTGGATATACATACACAGCAAGACATTTCAAATGACAGAGAGAGAAATAACCTTTCTCTTAGAGTTCTGTTGTGTCTGTGTTGATTTATTTGTCAATAGTTTTAAGTAATAGCCATTCTGTCCCCTTTAGTGGTAAGTATACCATACTTGGAAGAGATGACACTCATACATACTGCTTGTGGATATTTCTGTCTGTAAACATGCTGTGATTAACAATTCTGCAAAACTGCGCTCAGAGTGTATGGATATATTGAAGAGTATTCCATCTTTATTTTATATTTTGTGAGCCATCCTGATTTCCTGTTTCTGAAGAATTTGGCTTCATATTCGCAAATGAACTAATTGACAGTTGGCTCAACTCAGTGCTGGAGCACTTCTCTGGACTTAGAGGTGATTGTGGGGCACAAGAGCATCAAGAAGAAGCCACAGTGCCTAGAAACAGTACTGGCCAAAATAATTCTGTTGTGCATTTGTCAGACTTGCACATAACTACAAAGGGATCTGTGTGAAAACAGCTCTAAGAACTGTGATTCCTATAAAGTCAGTGATCTTTTTCTGTTTAATCTTTTCAGTGATATACAAGAATCATTGCAAACACAGAATTTGCAGGCAACAACCCTAGAAACTAAAACACAGACAGGAACTGAGCTGTTAAATGTTTATTCAGACGATCAATACATCAGAAAAATTCAAAAGCGTTTGGAGGAAGATACATTTGCTAGGGAGCAACGAGAAAAGAGACGACGAAAAATGCTAATGGAACAGTTAATAGCACATGAAGCACAACAGGTGAGAAAATGTATATAATCCATGCACAAGTAATAATCTAAAAATTTGCTTACAAATACAACAGAACAGTATTTTTGAAAGGTTGAATAGAATTTGGAGGGAATAAAGAGGGGTTTATACACTTATGTCTGAAAATAACTTTTATGCCAACTATTCATTTTCTTTCAAAAATATGGAAGGTTGTAAATTATTTCTCACCACCTTTATGTCATACTTCATCCATATAAATTGTAAAAGATCAAATGAAGGCAGTGTAGCTAAAATTACAAAAAAATCAGTTGAAGACCTGCCTTCTATTTCCTACCCTCCCTCCATGCCCTCCCAAGCTGAACATTAAACTATCAAAATGTATACTATTTCTTAAGAAAGTTCTAATTAAAAACCAGGAAAAATTGCATTCTTCAGTTGAACACCTGTATTTACAAATATGTAATTAAAAGTTTTATATCTGGACTGAATGAATTAAAAAATGGTTGTTCTAGGTGATGTGAAGAAGCAAAGCACTTACTTTGCGGATCAGAGCTTTGACTTTTTGATGTGCTATGTAATAGAAGGTGTATCTCAGGAGGATGTCCAGAAATTGATGTTGCGAGTTATTAAAGTTCAATCCTGTCCTGTAAAGCACAAGGCTTTTCAGATTCCGCCTCATTCAAAAAGCAATTCCTAGAGTACTGACTTCACAGACCTTCTCTTTAGTAATGGTTGCATCAAACAGAACCTTGTAACTTACTGGGTTTCTGTGATTTCTAGTTATCTTTTGTATTAGTTTTGTACTGTGAGTTCTTAGCTTAGATCATTTGTGTTGAAATCAGTGTAGCTGAGCCTGTCTCCTCTGCTGTTCCATAATAAATCCACTTAGGATGTGTGGCATCTCTGAAAAGGATAAGTATGAAATTATATGTACATATGTATGCATATCCATTTTTAAGCATTGGCATGTAATTTCTGGAGATGTTTTTGGAGTTTTTTAGAAAAAAATAAATTTGTTGGGGTAAGCATCTAGAAATTATGTGACTTCTCAGTGTTTATCCCTGAACTATATTCTGTGGAAAAACTAAGAACACCTGTAGTGGCTTAGACCAAGAGTCCAGCTATCCATCTATCTGACCTCCAGGCTCTCACCCAGAGAGATTCTGTGTAATGTTCTTGTTGTTATGCATAGGCCATGAGGAAGTTTTGCAACCCAGTTGTCTGAAATGGCTGTAGTAATAAAACTTGCTTTTTATCTGCTATCAGCTGTTGCAGCCTCAGCATAACCCCAGCAGACTGGACTAGTGGTTCCAATGACCTTGGATATCAGCTAATGGCCATGTGGCCAGCAGCAGTCACTGGGGCATTTGGTGGATACAGCAGTTGTAAGCCATCAAAGCCAGCCACTGCTATTAAGGAAATCAGACTGCCAGACTGCCTGTAGTTGTAGTAGGAGACTTGCCAGTTTGAAGATGAAGGGACAGTTGCAATGTGCTGCAAATCAGACTGGCTCCAGTAAAGTTCCAAAGCAAGGCAAAAGTAACAATAGTGTTCCTAACTTTCTAGGAAGAAAATTCAGCTTTTATATAGCAACAATAGAAGTCACAAACTGCAGGAATTAGAAGGAAAGACAAGTGCACAGTTGACTGGAACAGTAGTCTGGCCAGATCAGAGAATCTACTTAGTCCTAATTTGGTTCTAAATTAGCAAAGGAAGAGGTGACTAGTTGGAACTCTGTGACGTTTCAGAAATTAGATGTTGCTTGACTCAGAAGTGTGAAGAAATTTGAGATACTTTCATTAAAAACACCCAACAAAACAAAATAAATGAAAATTGCTTTCTCCCTCAACTACATTGAAGCAGAACGATTTTCAGGCTGAAATGGTACATTTCTTGTAGACATTAAGGTCAGATTTTTACCTATGCTGCATAAGACTTGAACACAGGGCATGAGATCACTTAGACTCAAATGAATTTCATTGCTGCAGAGTGCTTTAATGTGTTTCACATCCATATGTATAAACTACTACTAAAAGAATCTTGTTCCAGTTTTTAAGTTTTGATGCACTACAAGCTGTAGTACAAGTTAGAGCCTGTGAGAAAAAATACCTTAAATTACATGACACTTCTCTATGTGGTGCACAGGATGATGCCAGTCATATTTTCGTAGGTAGGAGCTGAAAATGTTTGACAGTAACATGGCTTCATCTCAACTGAGTCTTTGATCTTCACCATTTCAAAAAAGTATCTATTCTAAGCATTCATTTTTAAATGCTGTGTCCAGATTTTCTCTCTCTGAATTTAAAAAGTTATCAGGAAGAACTTGCTGTCAGCAATAAATTGACAAGATGAAAATGGGAGGGGAAATGAATGGTTACTAGATTATTATTTGTCAACCAAATAGATTTAAGTTTGCTAAGCCCTACGTTTTCCTCATAAAACCTACGACTACATAACAGGAAAGAATTGTTTCATTTGTCTTTAAATTAAACAAGGAAATAGAAACAACGAAAAGCACGATATAATAATTATGCATGGACAACATGAAACAAACACATTAATGCTTGGCCACTGGATGCCACTGTTGTCTCAAGTAGGTAAACTGAAAAAAAAGTCTATGTTATGCTTTCTCCATAGTAAGTTTTCAAATTATTACTAAGATGTCCCATTTATTATATTTATGACTTCTTTAGACACTTCACAGTCCTCTGTGAAGAAGTTAATGTAAAATGTTAGGTCAAAAGATTATACTGCCATTGTTATTCTGTTTCCTAGAATTCCTAGAAATTTCAGAACTCTTCAACTTTAGGTTTTATTAATTTGTCTGTTCCATCTGTATGAAAGACAGTTACCAATGCTTCATTGCCCTATCTAATAAGCACTTTTTTAAAACTAATTTCTGGTGTTCTGAACCCTAATTTATCCGTTGTGTAGCTCTGAGTAAACTGCCTTTTTAGATATTCTTGTTCATCAAAATTGCCATGCTGGTTTTTCTTAGGACTACTCAGCACGTCCAAATATTTGATTGTCTAGAGTACTGAAGTTCTCTTCCATTCAATTAACAAATAAATGGTCTCTTTTGGGTGCTCCAAAGTGTTCTAAAGGAGCATCTTCCCACTTGCTTTATAAAGAGCACATTTACTTAGATGAGGTGCTTTGGTATCTTATTAAGACAACTATTTGCACACTGCAGCTGATTATGAGAAATGGCCACTCTATTAGGATGGCTTCTTCAACTTAACCTCGAGGAAAGGGTATATCTTTTCATTCAGAAGCAATTATTTAACATATGCTGCAGTTTCTTTGCACAGAGGAAATATGGAAGTTAAAATTGAGTTAATCTGAACAAATGTATTTTTACTGAGTATCTCAGCTAAGACATATTTAAAATTCACTTCCATAGTTCTATTATTCTTGTATAGTTTACAGAAAATAGTACTCATAAATAGATATGTATGTTGTTCTGGATTTATGTATCAAATGAACAGGTAAATGTTGTCATATGAGTCCCTTCATATTTCTTGTATAAGAAACTAATGAGTTGTCTATTAAATAGTTTATAAGCTGTACTTAATACTATTATTTTTTATCTTTTAGGAGGCCTACCGGGAGGAACAACTTATTTACAGACTAATGAGAGAATCTCAGCAAGAGAGGCGGATTGCTGTTCAACTCATGCATGTTCGACATGAAAAAGAGGTGTTAAGGCAAACCAGAATTTTCAGGGAAAAGCAATATGAAGAAAGACGACAGAAAGAGTTCCAGGAAGCCCTTGATAGAGAAGCGGTAAAAGATAATTTGCTCCTTGACTTGCTGTAGAACTGTTACAATACTTCGCTGTTATAAAATGGAATTTGTATTGTGAACAGTTAGAATTTAGGATTTTTCTAAAGACAGAATGATTTAATGTTTAATATGTTGCTTTTATCTAGGTTCAAAGTTACAGTTAAGTTAATAAGAAATCAAACTGAGCAATTTAAAGTCTAATTGTGGTCTTTTCATCCAAACTAATTTTAACTTTG